ATTAAATGTATGCAGTTGTATAAGTCTGTCTGTAAAATAGGTGGAAGACCAGGAGAGATGATAATCAAATTAAATGCTGCATCACGCAAATTGATATTTTGTGGCCTTTCTAGTTCTGTAGACCTTTAAATTCAAAAAAAATGTCTTTCAAAAGTAAGAATATTTTTAGAAGCAGTTTATTTTTAGATAGGTATAGTGTTAAAATGTAGCCTTTGTTCTTTTACACACAGCCCAAAGATTGCAGTGTAGCCTTAACTTTCTTAGCTATTTAAGGCTAAATTTGTAAGATGTATTTCTTTGGGTTTTTTTAAATCCCACTATTTTGTAAAATTGAAAGGACATATTCTGTGAAACGTGTAAACAGCAAATTTCATTTATTAGTTAAAATTATTTTCACTTATTTGATGTAAAAATGACATAATTATATACAACTCTGAATTACTTTTTCTTGACAAATGGTTAATTGCTTGACTGATTAAGACCTGTGGTAGGATACAAGATGCTTCTTTTCCCAGGCTGCTTTTGTTGAAGATTTTCGGAAGCATGGTGTTTTACAAACTTCGGCAAACTTCTGTTTTTTAAAATATTAAGGTTTTTGTAGTGCATGTTCTGGTTTTGTACCTCATCCGTAGATAAATGTTTCCTCATAGTTTAATGTTTCATTTTTGACAAGCCATTAAAAATGTGCCAAACCTCAAAAATATTACCGTGTCCTGTTGTGTAAAGTACAGTGTAACGCAGGGACAAAGAAAAGTCATAACACAGGAAAAATGTTAAGCTTAAGAACATTTTCTCAGTTTCTTCATTTTTGTGGGAAGCTGAATCTCTATAATCTTTGTAGCTGAATACATCTGTGTTAAACATTTAAAATAGGTAGTACTCGTGGGAAAACTGATTGGAGCTTAAAACTTTTACAAATTGACAGCCTCTCTTCACTCCATTTTTCATCCTAAAGAAGTCTGCAAATATTCTTAGCTCACATCATTATTGCTCATCAGTGGTTCTAATTAGCTAAACAGGAGTTTGTCTCAGTCATTGATCATCATCAGCTTCTTGACAGTGCCTGAATTTTTTTCTCCCATTTTCCAGTGGACTTTTTTTAATATATTGTAAATACATAATGGCTCATTTAATAAAGTTGGTCAAAGACTTTTCTTAGTATTTGTTAGCCTTCTAAAAAAAAGAGGAGGGGATTGCTGCAATTCTTATCGAGTCTCATTTCAAGGCCCAATAGCAGATCCAAATGCGATGTGGAAGTTCCAGTCAGTCATACTACCTTGAGTGTCTGTGAGGAACTGTCCTGTAATGAGCATCGGAAGGTGTCCTATGCCACCAGGAGAAGCTGCTGATAAATTTCCATGTAAGGTTTCAATATATGCTTTAGGCTTCTGACAACATCCATCATGTGCTTGAAGTACGATATTTAGGATATTTTCTTTAGCTATGAATCGTAACTGGTGAAACTATTTTGGGGGGCGTTACTACAGTCTGTGCTATCTTGAGAGTTTGAAAGAAACTCAGAAAGCAAAAAACCCCTTGAATTTTCTTTAGACTTTTTCCACTCACTACAATGATGATAGATCTGTATTTATACACGTGGATCTTGACAGATTTTGAAGGGCTATTTGACCAAGCATTGGATAAACAGGGAAATACTGCATGTAACTAGAAATGCACTTTGAACCATTGGCTAGGGTGTTACAGGCACATTTTTTGCTTTAACAAAGGTCTGTTTTTTTCTCTCCAATCCCAGACTGTTCTTCAAACCTTTTTCGTGCAGCCTTGTCCTAAAGTTGCAGGGCTCCGTAAATTCTTGACTAACAATAATACACCAGAATTAGCTGTGCATACTATTTTTCAGTTCTCCAGAGTAGTTTGTTCTTCTGCTTGGTTCTTGGCTGGTTTATTCACTTTCTTCCTCTTCTCTCTTTAAAGGAAAAAAAACCACCAAACCCAAACCCCACAACTGTAGAGTTCTTTTGAGCCTTGCTTTGAGAGATCTACCTGACCCATCAGGTTTTCAGATCAATTAACCAATAAGTTTAATAAATTTTCAAGTGGTGATTGCATAGCTGAGTTAAGAGACTAATTATCCAGTATTTGTGTTTAATTTGGCCTCTATTTAAAAAAGGCTGACTTTGTGAGAGTAGAAAGTGGTTAGAGGAGTTGGGAAGACAATGGCATATTGTGGATGGTAGATATACAATGAGTGGTTAGAGTGATGGTTTAATTTAAGTAGAAATATAAAATAAAACCAGCTGAATTAAAATGGAGAGGGAAATACATCACTGGGGGAACCGAGAATGGATAGGACATGTCAGCCAGTGGTTAAGGTCAGGATACTTTTGAGGGCTGGAGACAATGCTTTTCAGTGGTTTGTGGAGCTCATGTGTGTTTATTGTACTGTATGATTCTTCCTGTGTCTACACGTTACTATCCTAAGTACTTTGTAGTAAAGACCTGCTTTGCTTTTGATTTTCTGAAGCTCTTAAAATTTTGAATCAAGCAGTTATGCATGTGTCTAATTTTAAATTCTTAAGTTGTCTAGCTGTAATTAAGACCTGAGGAAACTTGGACTGCTGTCATACTTACAGTTTAGACATAGATTAATATAGGTCATCACTTCTTAAGATACATTGTGGTGTAACGTGCTTGTGGGAGAGAGATACCTTCTTCCCAAACTATTTGGGTTTTGTGTACTGCAACAATCATCTTTGAAAAAGGGTAATTGTTGATAGCCATTAAGAACCCCACAGCAAAGTAATTAAGTATCAAGAAGTATTGGCATTTTTAAACTGGAGCAGGTTTTGGTTCATTTAAGTTGTGGAATAATGTACAGTATTCGTCATGAACAGTATACCTATTCAGGAACATGCATAAACTTCAGTGATAAGTATTATAAAAATCATCTATTCACAGATATTTTTCCATACCAACTCCTAATTTTTAAAGTTGACCAATATTGTTTAGTACAATGTTTTATAAACTTATCAGAAATTCTTTTACCATTTTTTAAAACCTGATTCAAAATGTGATTTTTGTAAACTGGTTATGCATTATAAGCAAGGTGGGTCAGTTTCATTACTGTCATGTATTATGAAACATGTTTGTTGTTTTCTCCCTTGTGCTCCCATTATTGTCCTTAGGTTTTTTTCAAAAGGCATCACTCTGTAACATTTGGAATACACCGGGTAACTTCATATTTCCATAGATCTCTGTAATTGCAGTCTGCTTAGTTCAGTTTTAGTAGATGTTCAAAGAGAAACTATGAAAAACTGGCTGTACTTCGTAATTCACTGCTCACATGTTCCTAGCCAACCTATCGTGACAATTCCTTGATGCTTCTGATTGCAGGTGATCAGATGCTTTGAGGTCAGGATCTGATGTATATTTTTCTATTAAGTTTCTGTCTCAGTTAAAATGTTAAATACCTTTCAGACATAAAATGTCTTTTTGGAATACTTGTTCACTCTTCATGGTTTCACTTTTCTCTGCTCATTACAGCTCCTGAATTATTTTCTTTATGGAGGTAGATTTTTTTTTAATGCCATACAACTGCTTAAGATTCCATATATTTTTGTTTCTCCTAGTTAAATATAATTTAAATTAAAATCTTTTCAGCTAGGGTTTTCTTACTTTTCTTCCAGTACTATAACACATCAGTGCTGCTGTATTTGCAGTAGGAGAGTGCTACTTACATTTACAATGCCTTGAAACATACCATTTTTATTTAATTCTTGACTTACTCAAGATCAGACTAGCTATTTTAACAGTCATAGAACTCTATTTAAAAGAAACCATGTTATTGGATGGCCTATGAGGACACTGAAGTTTAGCCTTTAAAATTACCAGTAACAGTAGAATATGCAGTAATACATAATAGTGGAGCCCATATATCTACTATCCTTATTGATCTCTGTTACAAAAGGCTTCAGTAGATGAAGCCTTTTGTGCACAGCTGGATATTCTCATCCACTTTTGATCAGATTTACAGTCTCATGGGTACCACTCTTCTATTCCCTTCCATGGCTAAAACATTCCCATTTTAGTGGAGCAAAAGTTGTGCATGTAGGATTCTCTGGCTTTTAGGGGTGGTTTATATCCAGCCATGATGGAAGTTTAACTGTGTTGTCAGAGCAGGGATAATCTGAATTAGTTTCTGCTTCTCTGTCACCTGTGGTGCTGGGGATGCCTGAAGTATTTGGCCAATTTTAGGGAATATATGTTTTTCAGAGCTTTTGTCACAGATACATGATGGGAACTCTGTCTTGTGTTAACAAATCTCTGTATCCTTACTATGACAACATTTGTTTTCTTTCTGCCTAAAACAGAAGCCAGTAAGGGCATCAACATTTAAAACTCAGTCAAGAAATAGGATAGGAATGAGATGAGATGGTTTGTTAAACAAAGCGTTGACTCATCAGCTGGTTTTCTACAAAATGTGGCAGAGATGATTATAGTCCTGCACTTATTAACCACATAGAGAGACTCTCCTCGTCCCTATTACCCAAGCTTCTGAGTTGTCTTTTTTCCCCCCCCAGTAAAAGTTATAGGTGCTATCCGTGTGAAAGATAGTAAAATAGTTATCCATTATGTTCAGACAGTGTTGTTTCAGACATAGAAATGCCATGAAGTTGGAAGGACTTGACAAACCCAAGCAGCTTAGTTGCTCTACATTGCCAAGAAGGCAAAAAAAGAATTTTGCTCAGTCTATGGACAAGTACATTTTCTGTATGAGACAGATAATTTCAGCTGCTTAAAAATGTATTTTAAGACCTCTTGCTTCTGTTTCTTTTTGAACAAAGTTGTGTTAGCTGTTTACAGATGTAATTTGCTGTCACTTGCCATATGCTCCCTGATTAATTCTGCAAGGCCTGTCAGCTTCAGATAATTTAATTTTCTGTGCTTTAAAATGACATTCATTATCAGGACATGAAAAATTCAAATGATTAACTGCAAATTATGACTAATAAAGTGTCTATTTTTTTGTTTGTTTCCAGAGAAAAGCAGAAAGCTGAAGTCAAGGACAGAAGGGTTTTAGAGATTTTGCAAGCCAAAGACAGCAAAATAGAAACTCTGGAACAGGTCTGTATTATGTTTAAATAGAGCAGTTAAGAAAACTTCTATCACTGACATCAAATTTACATTTCCTAAGATGTGAAAATAGTTTGCTCTTGTGTCTTAAGGTGAAAGTTGCAGGTGATTCAGAGATGATAACCTTCTGATAAAGTATTAATTACACTTTTCTGAATTGTTAAACAGTTGACCTTTCACCTAAAAAGTTCCTATGATTTTAGCAGAAGCTTCTCCTGAAAAGTTTTGTCAACTCATTGCCTTATTTTGCCTAATGGACTGACCTAAACTTGGATTCAAATTCTAAAAGAGTCTGACTACGTTTAGGTTTGTAATGTGCCCGGGGTTTGGAAAGATTTGCCAACCTGGCAAATACAAAAAGAAAACATTTCTAAAATAATGATGGCTAAACATGTAGTATACTAAAAGCAATACAGCTATGTATTTTAGCGTTACTAACCTGTAACAATATTTATTAACTCTTAGCATAAACTGTAAAACATACTGATATAACTCCTACATCATGTATTCTCTTTTGAACTGTTCACTCAGAACTGAATTCTGTGTATTAGTACAGAAAATTTAAATGAAAACTATGTATTGAACCAAGCCATTGGTGAAATTGAGGAAATATGAGCTCATTTTCTAAATATCAAAATAATTCTTTGAGAAGTCATCAAAGCTTTTGAACCCTTCACAGTATTTGAAATATGATACTTATGAAATCTAACACTAAAAAATACTAAATAAACACTGCACCTTCCTTTTCTCCATAAATCTCAAATGGCTGCCTTCTCAAGACTATGAGGAGAGCAGAATGTGCTTTTCCATATTATTAGGAGTGTTAATAAGAAAAACGTTATAATCAGACCAAATGTGATATAAAAAGAGAGAAAAAGTATTAGAATTACTTCACAGGTAATAAAGCTGATAGCAAAAACACAGATGAGGGTTGAGAGTGTGCTTTCATATGTCTAAATCCTGCAGTTCCTGGGCATAAAAGGCTGATTGATAGTTTTTTATAGAATCACAGGCTGGCTGAGGTTGGAAGGGACCTCTGGAGGTCACCTTGCCCAACCCTCCTGCTCAAGCAGGGACACCCAGAGCCAGTTGCCCAGGACCATGTCCAGATGGCTTTTGAGTATCTCCACAATCTTTCTGTGCAAGCTGTGCCAGTGCTTGGTCACCCTCACAGGGAAAAGTTTTCATGATGTTCAGAGGCAACCTCCTGTGTTTCAGATGGTGCTCATTGCCTCTGGTCCTGTCACTGGGCACCACTGAAAAGAGCCTGGATCTGTCCTCTTTGCAGCCTCCCTTCAGGTATTTGTACACACTGATGGGATTCCCCCTGAGCCTTTTCTTCTCCTGGCTGAACAGTCCCTGCTCTCTCAGCCTTTCTGCATAGGAGAGATGCTCCAGTGTCTAAATCATCTTCATGGCCATTTGCTGGACTGATTCCGGTAGCTCCTTATCTCTTGTACTATGGAGCCCAGAACTGGACCCACACACTCCAGGTGTGGCCTCAGTAGTGCTGAGTAGAGAGGAAGGATCACCTCCCTCAATCTGCTGGCAATACTTTGCCTAATGTAGCCCCAGGATCCTGTTTGCCATCTTTGTCACAATGGTACTTTGCTGACTCAGTGTCAACCTCTTGTCTACCAGGACCCCCAGGTCCTTTTCTACAAAGCTGCTTTCCAGCTGGGCAGCCCCCAGCACATATTGGTGCATGGAACCTAGCATACAAGCTTGCATGGCATTGTTCCTCCTTGGGTGCAGGACTTTTTATTTCTTGTTGTTGAATTTCCTGAAGTTCCTTTCAGCTCGTTTCTCCAGCCTGTCCAGCTACTGAACAGCAGCACAACCCTCTGGTGTATCAGCCACTCCTACCAGTTTGTGTCATCAGCAAACTTGCTGGGTGCACTCTGCCCCATCATGTAGACCATTAGTGAATTTCCTCACATTTCTGATGGCCTTTACTAGGGTCTTGCTTGAATTCAGGTAAGTTGTGTAGCCAGCGGTGTAAACTCAGGTTTCCAGAGCTTACCTACTTCTGGTTTGTTCAAAATAAACCTGATACACCTGCTGCCTGATGAGAAACACCACTGCAATGAGGTTATTCATCCTATTTGTATTACAGCAGTGGCTGGAGTTCCTGTGTGTTATCATGTCCTCATCGCTATAGGTGTGATTTGTAATGTGTTTGGTTCATGCATGCACATCATTTTTATATATCATCAATGCATGATTATTCCTGCATTTCTACCCTATCCTTAGCTGAAGGAGAAAAAAACCTGTGTAAGAAGTATACGAGTTTGTGTGCAGTAATGTGCTTTTAAGAAGGGCTGGCTGGCTGCTTTGGCAGCTTTTGAACCTGTGGTGTGCATGTCCATGAGATTGCTCTCTGTGGTTTCAGATCAGTTTCAGAAGGTGAAATTGAAATTGATCAGAAATCTGAAATTGCAATGCAGTTACCATATGGAAGTGGAGAGAGGCTGAAAATGTAACTAGAACCAAGGAAAAGTTGCAGCCAGGAAAGGAGGGCTTGGCAAAAGCATGGGAAAAATTAACAGATGAGGAGGACAGAAGCTGCTTTTTTTGTCATCATTTTGTAATACAGCCCTTTCAAATAATTTCCCTTATACTTTCATTGACTCAGGGGAGGTTGCGAGGGGCACCAGGTGGTGCCAATGGCCAGTGCAGTATACAAAGCCGTATACAAAGGTGGTGTCATTCTGACCTTCTTGCCTCATCCATTGGCTGGGATGCCACAGGATGGAAACAAGGTGGGGATCATTTTCTGAGTTTTTGGAGTGCTTTTGGTGGTTTGGTAATCAAAGACTGGAGCTGGCATAGAGAACAGTATAGTAAGGAACGTTCTCATTTATTATGTTTATCTGAAATTGTTCTCTGTTGTTTTAAGGAGAACTAACTAACATGCAAATAGGTTGTTTATGAAACTGAATTTTGACAGTAATGACAATGAACATTCTTTTCTGGATAGACAGCAATACTTCAAGTCTACCAATCTGTTATGTCTAGAAGATGAAATTATCCAGTCATTTCCTCTGTTGTTTTTCACATATCATACAGAGATATCAGTCGCAACAATATCATTTGTCATAAGGTATTTATTTACTAGGGATTTCTGAGTGGCCATCAAACAGCTGATCGTATGAATCCATGCCAGCTAAGGAAAAAAAGGCAAATAAATGACGTATCTCATAATATGGCATGTATGTAAGCTGATATTGCTGCCAGAAGCAACAACAAAACCCTAGGAGAACATGAGATAATCTTTCTTCTCTTGTATTCTGGTTAGACTTTGTCCTGACATGCTTAAGAGCCCTTTTAGAATTACTGTAAATAAGAAGGCATATTCTCCACACTCGAGGTGAGACGCATGTAGTTATTTAATACTGAGAACTAAATTAGCTTTATTTGTAATGAGATATCTCAACTGGTTGAAGGACATCCATTTCAAAGGATATTACTGAAAATAAAGTAAAATAATTCATTTAAAAACATGGCGGAGAAGTAATATGGTCTCTAATCACTTTTTTATAACCTGGGAAAAAATATTCATGAGAATGGGATTTATGGCTTTAAGGGTAAAAATCAGTGTAAATTGCAGTTTTGCAAAACTTCTACTGTCTAATATCTTTGGAACAGAGTACATGCATTGAACTTTTATGTACTTTAGTATGACTTCAGTGTGTTGTGCTCCTTCCCTAATTTACAATGATGTCATCTTCAGTTTTAGATAAATGTATAAGACATTATTTCTTGCCCTGAGTTTGTTGCATAACTGCATATTATATTACACATTTAAATATTAAATAACGTAGAGCATTTCAAAATGTACCATTCAAAGGTTCAAATGAACATAGTATTTACTACAGCACTTAAGGTTTTTTTCATACATTATTGCACATAAATTCAGTACACGATACATTGTAGTTTTCCATTCTACTTATTTTTCCCTTTGTTCTTTTTTTTGTTTTTTTTAAGTTCTTATCTTGGTAATTGGTAGATTGGTAACTTTTGGTCTTGATGGTCACAGCTGTGCTTCGTCTGGCATATACATATTTATTCTAAATGCTGTGTGGTAAAAATCTTACTCCTTTGAGGTTGGTGCCTAGATTGCTATACTGATCTTATTGCTGTCACTTTTGTTCTACACAGTGATTCAAAACTCTTTTCTCAATAGTGATGTATCCTTGCCATAGATACATAATTTCTCTGTGTGTTTCAAGGAAAAGAATTTCTAACTGCTGCCGTTAAGCGGATAACTCACTGTCCTAGAATTTTAGTTATGCTTCTGAAGTCTGACTGCTGCAGATATCTTTTTTTCTTTCTCCCTTTTCTTTGGAAACATTTCCTACCTGTTGTATTTAATTTATAAATCTGTGTTTGTCTCAAATGGTTCACCAGTGCTTTTTTTTTTTTTAAATAAGGTTAGTTTTTTGGAAGAATGCATTACATTTTTTTTAATTTAAGCAATTAATTTAGAGGATAATGTGAGAACAGGAAACTCAGTCTTCTGCCATTCATGTAACAGATAAAATATCTTCACCAGTTTTCCTTAGAAGATGAAATTGAAGACGTGTAAAAGTAACAGTGAAAATTTTCTGTTTTCTATAACACTGTTAATTAATTAGGTTTCAATTTTGATCAGGAGGAACTAAAGCTAATCTTTTTGTCCTAGACCTTGTAATGTTTCAAAACCTTATCAACTGATTATACTCCAGAGGGGTTAAAATAGTACTAGCTTGCCTCATTATCTGCACTTGAAAATCTTCAGCTTGCTGTGCAAATCTATATTAAAGCCCCTTTAATGGGTCCAATTGAAAGAACCATAATTCTACCTTCAAGCATTAATTAACACTAATAAGTTTTTCTTAACTTTTGTACCTACACCTGATTGTGTTTTTCTTTGTAATAAAATGCTGTTGTTAAATTAAGATGAATGTATACACACATTATTGCCATTTAAACACTTTATTTCCAGTAGC